AGATGGGTGGATGGCTGATGGGCAGAGCAAACTGAGGAGACAACAGATGACTCAAGATGATGGCAGGGGGGAGGCAGCTACCAGGCTGGCTAGCTAATGTTTCCCCCTTTCAGCGATTTGCAGGAGATGTGTCCCAGCTTGGTCATGAAGTTGGTTTGCTTCCATTGTGCGATGCACTCCTCAGAAATTTTAAAATCAGCCTGGGTGAGACAGAAAAAAAAAGTATAATGATGGTGCTGGGGCTGCAAGAAAACGGGCTTTCTATAAGTGGTGCAAACTTCTTCAGCTTTGCTGAACATTTGCCAGAACCTTGAATAACTGTATTGTCCAAACCAGGTAAGTTCATTTTAGAAAATAATCATAAGCAAAAGAAAGCTCTATGACAGTTTATAGACCATCACTGCATTCAAATAGTGAAAAACAGAACTACCTTAATGTCTAATAAAGTTTTGGTTAAATGCTCAGTCTAATAGAATCAGCAGTATGAAGCCACCAGCTGCTCCCACTCACCTGTGTAGTGCCGATGTGCGTCAGAATCAATGGCAGTGGGTTTGGTTTTTAACAGAATAGTGTCATAATGCTAATTCCACTCTCAGTATTTAACAGGATGGTAATTTTCTGGGATAAAGTTAAATTTAAAAAGCAGGATAAACATATGGTATGCCTAAACTATCTGTATCTTTATGCACAGAAAAAGACCAGAAAGAATGAATCGCTAATGACTTTAGTATCTCTGGATGGCAGAATTATGGCAATTTTATTTTCTTCATTTCCTCCAATATTTTAGCTGATTTATACAATGAAAATTTATAGCTAGAAAAAAAAATTAGCTTGGAAAAAGCAGACAAGAAGGGAGTGGGCAAAGCTGTGTGCAGGAGGACAGGAAAAAGAGGTAAAAACCACCCTTAACGCCCCCAGAAGCGTTCTAATTGAGGAAATGAGGTATTAAGTAGAACAAGTCACACATGGAGTGTTGGTGCCACAAGGAGAGGGACTTTTTTTTGTTATTTTCACAGCCAAAGCACCTAGAATAGCACCTGTTAAGAGAGCAGAACTGTGCCTTGAGGTTTTCTTGGCTCTAAATTTGAATGAAAACAGATTAGACCTTTTTCTGTGGTGCCACTCGGTGAGTACACCAACTTAAGTAGTCAGGAGTAAACTAATTCCAACACCAGAGGTCATACTGAATGAACAAAGTGAAATGCAGGAAAACCTGTACGTGAGGCAATGCTAAGAAGGCCTAAAGCGAGGCCTGAAGGATCCCAGGAGGATTTTGATCCTGGCTTCATCACTTCTGGGATCCTGGTGGCCTTCTCACAGGCATCCTACCAGCTAAAATGGGGAAGAATCATTTTGCATTAGTATGTGAAAATGGGTGCAATCTGGGGTGCACAGGCCAGGAAGGGCAGAAATGCTACTAACCTGCAACTTCTCAAAGACTTTCTTTTTGGGCTTGAGCTCATCGTCTGGTTGGCCCTTCTCATAGCCCTTCACAAACACTCGCTCTCCAGGAGCAGAGCCTGGGGGAGGGTCCAGAGGTTCAACCTTTCGGCTTACTCCTTCTATAGAAGCACACAGAAGCATGCCCTGGGACTCAAGTCCTCTCATCTTCTGGGGTTTCAGATTGCACAGCACCACCACCAGCCTGTCCTGCAGTTCCTCCTCTGAAACTTTTAAAAATTAATTCTTAAAAGGTACTCATTGTTTCTGTTCACTTTATATTGCAGATGGTTATCTATGATCTCCACAGATGTAAATATAAGCAAGAAATCTACGATAATATTCTTGATGCTACATCATGGTCCTTTCCAAATGGGGTACGGATAAAAGTTGTAAGGGGCTGGTAAGAAATCTCTTAAAAGTTTCATAGCATTAAAAAAATTAAGTATCCTTATAATTTTTGTGCTCTGTTTCTGGTGTTTTTATTAATGACACATTTGCTTTTTTCTGGTCTTGGACAGAATATTTTTAAACATTTATTAGCATTTTATAACTTAATTGTTCTTTTTATTTCCTGTGACAGAAAATATAACCTTTCTGTAGTGCTTAGGACCAGCATTAAGGAGCACTTGATGGCATATGCAATCAGTACCATTCTGTAACTACATTATTAGCTTGAATGGATGTAGCAACTGGAATGTTCTACTATGCTTTCATTTTTGTAACCAAGTATAAAGTGGAGTTGAAAACTTCAGCTAAGTGAGGCACAGCATTGAAAACAAGTTAAAAATTTGTGGGATGCTAAGGAATGTGAAGGTCACATAATTAAAGTCATTTGGATGACTGACCCTCTCAAGGACTGAAGGATGCTTTGTGTGGTCAGAACATGAGGGAAGTTTTCATTTTTAGCTATGGACCAGGCCCATTGGATAGGCTGGAGTCAGAATTTCTTTGTCGAGTTTTTAATTTTACCCACTGGTTAATATTCATGTGAGCAGAGTAGTCTTTGTATAATAAAATGGGACACTTGGGATGTTATCCACAGATAGGAAAATTAGGGTGGAAGTATTAATTTGTAGTTACATATCTTTGGTTTTTTAATATAGTCACACAGCTTTGAGTATCTGATGTGGATATAATATATAGTATAATATGTGTATTTGTTGTTGTTACATGATGTCACATTGGAACGAACTTGTAGATGAGCCCCCAGCAAATTTTCAGAGGAAAAATTACGTAGAAGTAGACTGTTTATCTTCCTGCAATGAAGTTACCTTTGTGTTGGAAATGCAACTCTTTACCCACTAGGCCACCAAATCTCCATGTGTATATGCACTCAAATACATATGTATACATATGTATGAATTGATGATGCCTTTGAGTTGTAGTGCAGGAGAAGAATATTCAACATACTTCACCCATATACTTTGTGCCAATCCTTGGAGACAGACATCGTGCTTGGAAGGGTGGAGTGTCAGAGCAGGAGAGGAAAACCCTAGATGAGATAAATTGACATAATAGCTATGGCAGTGGGGTCAGGTGTGTCAGAGAATGGTGAGGATGGCTCAGAATAGGGCAAGGTTCAGAACCATTGTTGTAGGGTCACTGTGAGTTGTAGTCAACTTGACGGCACATCACAGCAACCATATGTAGTTTATAATACATGAATCATCTAAAAAACCCACTACACTCTAGTCAGTTTATTTATGTGATTCTCCATAAAGTTTCTTTAAGGGAGGAGACAGTCCATCTTTCTCCCTCAGAGCAACTAGTAGATTTGAACTGCAAGTGGTGGACCATACAGCACATTACATAAACACCACCTTATGCTTCTGGAAAAGGAGTTCTGGAGGCTTAGTGCTAAAGAGTTGTAATGCCAACCCAAAGGTACACCGTTTGAATCCACCAGCTATTCTGTGGGGAAAAGATGGAGAGCCTCCTTCTTGTGTATTTTGCTGCCTTTGAATACCCTCTGTAGGATGAGCTGTGGGTTGATTCTGACTCAGTGGTACATACCCACAACAATGCTTCCAGAGAACACACACATGCATATATGCACAATGGACGTACACCTCGCTACTACTTGTACTGTGTTGTTGTTTTTAGGAACTATTTTTGCCTCCCAGTACAATGCACTTTGTTTCTACTTTCCCCCCACCTACTGCTAATTTAAGTACATACCTTTCTCTTAAAAAAAAGGTTACATATTATGTAACCTATATGCTAACAGTGAAAATAGCTATACTTTCAACATGAAAATCAGTAAGATCTATGTATTATTAATATTGTTTGATGCATTATTAATTAGAAAAACAAAACTAACCATTGCTTTTGTATTTGTTTAGCTGGATTTTATATGAGAAACCACATTTCCAAGGTCAGAAATGTGTGTTAGAAGAAGGGGAAAAAGTGTTAAATCATGACTGGATTCTTCACAACAGAAAATACCCACCAAGAAACTTTGTATTAGGTTCCATCAAACGTGTCTTAAAGGTACCGGAATTGTTTTTCTTGGTTTTCATTTTGCTTAGTTTGGTTTGTCATAATAAGGAGCATAGTGTTTAGAAATGTGTCATTTTATTAATGTTTGTTAACATCTTGATAATATTTTGATTTAATACATATAAAACATTAGATTAAATGAAAATTCAAAATATTCATTGTAATCTGGTTTATTACATTTCTAGAGTTAAATGATTGGTAATGGACTATCTATGTACATTTAGGCATACTTGTGTATTTTTATACCTACAAATATACCCCTGTGTATTTTTAATGGGAAAGGTGTGTAGCATCCAGGGATACTTAAGAAATAGCTGGTATCTTGAAATATATTCTGCTCTGGTATAGAAGTCTACTTTTCAATACAGCTTTGTGTACAGGAAGGCACGCACCAGCAGGGTACATGAGTACAGGGGGGTGTTCTGGAAAAGGAGAACATTAAGAGCAAATTAAGGAAGGAAGCATGAAGGGAGAAAAGGGAGGCGTAGCTGCAGCTTTTAAGCTTTATTAAACAATATTGTTAGATCTCTGATTTTGTTACCTATAAAATATTATTTACTACTAAGCTAGGAGGTTTGGCGGCACAGTCTATGGGGTGTTGCAGCGCATGAGCCTCTCTGGTATTTCATATCCCCAAGTGCTCCAGAGGTGAATGGTGCTCAGTCTGCTCCTGTGCTGTTTACAGGGGAGGGTTGCTATGAATCTGTTCAATTTGGCATCAATGAGAATGAGAAGATAAGGAAAATCTTTCAGTACCATAAAAGTTTGATGGGGAATGCTGGGGCAGTTTAGAGAAGTTGGGTCAGGGCATTAGTGTGAAGCTACTTTGAGTCTAAGAGAGACTGCCAAGTCACACTGCCATGAGAAGCAGGGCTCTGTGGGTGCATACAGAACAGACATTTCACCTCTTGATAGGAGGCACCTCACCAGAAGGACGTGATTGGACTCTTTAAAATGATAAACAGAAGTTAAGGAGCAGAAGAGTTGTGAGAGAGCTGCTGGCAGAGCGGCTTTTTTTCAGACACAGGTGTGTAGGCGGTGGCAGGTGTGTGCTTGGTAGGTTGATGTTATTACAGAGTGATTAAAGTGGTGAAAGCATTGAGGGCAGTGTCCATTTTAATGAAAGTAATGCTAGTAGTTCAGTCAGCAAACAGCATTTGAGTGCTCACAAAATTAGCTGACTTGGTAGAAATTCCTTGAGATGGATAGTTTGTAGGTGGCATCTCTCACCACCTTCTGAATGTGTCAGGCAACACATCAAGCCTAATAGACAAAGGTATGTCAAATAAGAGTAAAATAGAATAAAAACTGTCTTGTAAGCAAAACATTTGAAGTAATATTTGCATATCAGACATTTTTGCTTGGAAAATAAGCATTAATAAGCAAGGCTTGCATTTTCCCCCCTCTTTTCTATTGTTCTTAAAGTCTTTTCTGTAGTCAAAATGTTAGTGCCAATGTGTATTATACAGGCTAGAAATGCCCAGTGAGGGAAGAACATAAAACTATTGATTATTGAGCATTAAATGGAAAAGATACTAGCATTGTTCTGAATTATCTCACAAAGTAATAATTAAGTATCAAACTGCTGCCTTTACCCAACATTGACAAAACTTTACCTCCTGATAATTTCATTTTCATGGTGGTGATTTCCATTTCAAATTCACCTAGGCCTTACCCAACTTTAGCTAATGATCAGTATTTTAGAGTATCTAAACCTTAGTCCTTTGTAAATAATGTTTGGCAGATGCCACACAGTATCAGGATTTAAAGACGAAACTCAATGATAATCCTGCTCTGCCTCCAGTGGAAGAAATGGGGTATGAGTAGTAATTGCGGTGAATCATGAGTGAGGTACTCTCTTCTCAAATTAGGCTGTAAACATACTATCATTTACTATGCTTAATACACATTTAGTATTATTTTAAAGTTTTTAAAATATTTTTTCTTTGACCAGACATTAGTTAATCTTTATTAATAAGCTGAGGAGAGGAAGTTTGTTGTTTTATCAGTAATTGCAAACATTTATTATCTAAGGTAGAAATAAATATGTTCACTCCTTCCACGGTTCTTTTGTCTTTTAGTGGCAGTTGTTTAGAGAAATGTCATCTCATAATTTGTGTAGTTAGGCGCTGTCAAGTAGACTGTGCCTCAAAGCAGTCCTATGAACAACCGATCGGAACTTTGCCATTTCCTGTGCTATCATCATGATCTCGGACATGCCCATTGTTATACCTGCTGTGTCAGTTCATTTCTTCTCTGTCACTGAAGGTCTTCCTATCTTTTTTTGACTCTGCATTTCCCAGTGTGAGGAGAGGGGTTTTTTCTCTCCCAAGGACTGGTCCCTTCTGACAAACATGCTCAAAGTATGTGAGATGAAGTTTCACCATCCTTGCCTCTGTGGAGCAGGTGGTTTCACTACTTCAAGACAGATTTGCTTCTTCTTCTGACAGTCCATGTTATATCCAGTACTTTCTGCTAACACTACAAGTTAAAGGCATCAAAATAGATCTAACTGTGACTCAAGGAGCTCTGGTTGTGTAGACTGCAGGGAGTTGCACTGCTGACCTAATGGGGGTCTCCTTCCATGTAATTTACAGCCTTGGAAACCCTCTGGAGGGTCATCTCTGAATTTGTTCTTATCCCAGAGTAATAAGGGAGAATTGTTGCTCGTTCTTGTCTTCTTCCATTCAGGACACTCCGGTTGAGTTATGGCCAATGCTCCTCGTGCACAGCCATCACTTAGGTCACAGTGGAGGCTTAGGTGATTTCCACAGAGCTTCCAGACTGAAACTGAGTCGGAAGAAGAGTCTAGTCATCTGCTTCTGAACCCCAACCAGTTGGTAGCCTATAGATCAAAACAGTTCAATCCACAGCTGATCATGGGCATGTCACTGGACCCATCATGTCTCATGCAGTTGTGCAGTGTTACCATGAGACAAGGTGGGGGTGGAGGGATTGACTAGACCAACAGACGACACTTTTGATTACGGCTTGAAAATCCCTATTAATTTGATATATCCACCTTGAGCAATTTATGGTTCACTGTTTACTTTTTCTTCTATATAAAGAGGACATTATTATACCTACCTCTAGAATTTTATGGAAATCAAATGCAACTATGCAGAGGGTTTATTTTATACTGGTTTATTTACAAAGTTCATATACATTGTTTTTCACACCAAATCTTTCCCATTTCCTTCACCACCCTTTCAGCCTCAAATTGTGCAACCTCTGATTAACGCCCACTCCCATCCTCAGCCTTCTACTCCCACCTCCCCCCCAAAATACTCGTTCTACAGTAATAGTCTTTTACAATATTTGTCCTTATGGGACTGAGTTAGTTCACTTAGTATAAGAATGTAGAGGTTTTTGTACTCTTCTAGGACCCAAGATGACTTTGTCACATCTTGTTTAGTATATGTGTAGATGTTTATGTGTGATATGCTCTGATATTTTCTGTTTCCATTTCCATCAGTTCAGTTGAGTAAACAGCATTGGGTTACTCAATAAATTATCTAACTTGATAAAAATTTCTAGAGATGGATAATTTGTAGGTGCCATCTTCTAAAATTAATATTATTTGTGGGCTTTTTAAAATCTTAGTTTTGCCTCATTTTTAAAAGTTAATAATGTCCATCTAGGATCTTGACTAATGTTCAATAATTTCCACATTCTTTTGGATCACGGTTCTTGAGAATGCGAACAAACTGGACTTTTTTTTTTTCTCATTCAGTTGGCAAGGCTACTGTCTTCTCCATTGCCTGGCACAGATTATTACGAATATCCAGGGCTACAACTGTTGATTAAAACATGTCAGTCAATTCAAATGAATCATTCTGATTCTGTCTTACATGGATCCACAATCAACACCCTTGGGACCAGAAGTCGGGAAATACTCAAAGACCTATTACATTGGGAAAGTCAGCCATTGGAGACCTCTCCAAAGTACTGAGGAACAGTGATGTAATTTTAAAGATTCACCTCGTTGAGGCCGATGATCTATTCAATCAATTGCTATGCATCTAGACAGTGAATAAGATAGAGGCTTTTTAGCTGTGAAGTTGGAGAAGAATACTCACTATCCCATAGACTGCCAAAAGAACAAAGAGGTGTATCTTGGGGAAAAGTACAGCCAGAGTACTCTTTAGAGGCAAGAATGATGAAGTTATGTCTCATATATGTTGAGTGTGTTATTAGGAGCTATTCCTTGGCTTGGAAAGGTGGAAGGTCACAGAACGAGAGGAAGAGCCTCAGCAAGTTGGATTTGACACAGTTACTGCAGCAGTAGGCTGTTAGAATATGTTACAGTATGTTAGAGATGATGAGGAAGGCACAGGGTAGGACAGGGTTCATATCTGTTGTTAATAGGGTCACTGTGAGTTGTACTCAACTCGATGGCACATAACAACCACAGTCGTACGTACTACTGAGGTATAATGCCTATAAAATACCTGTCACCAGACTGGACTTAGTAAGTATTCAGTGAGCTTGTTTTCAGAACATTAATGTTCACATTTACTATTCCACTTAAGAGTTAGGAAATCAATTCATTTAGCTTAAGGTAATAAATGTTGATGTCAAAATTACCTCCCAAAAAAGTGATCCAAAAGAATGTGGAAATTATCAAACAATATTATTAATATCACATGCAAATAAAATCTTGTTGAGATTTATCTTAAAATGGCTTGAACCGTACATAGACAGGGAACCTCCAGAAATCCAAGCTGGATTCAGAAGACGTCTTGGCAGAGGCATATCATTACTAATGTCAGATGGATACAGATCTTGGTTGAAAAGAAACATAACCAAAAAGGTTTAAAGAAAAATGTCATTGGAAAGGCCATTGAAATGTTTCAAGAGTTCTTCTGACCGTATTCTTGTGACGTTCCCCTACTTGTTAATGTCTAATATTTGCCTCCTAAAAGAGGTTTTTAAAGCATTCTTTTTCTTCTGGTGGCATGGTCTGTATCCTTACACTGTGAACCCCAAGG